TATATATATATTAAAATTAGGTTAAAAACCTAATTTAGTCCCTCATAATATTTGTTTGTTTCAATTTAGTCCCACTTTAATTTTTTGTTTCAATTTGATCTCCAATAATTTAAATTATTGCAATGTTGGACTTATGTCCAAATTATTTGGACGAAGTTAACTGTTGGCAACGTGGGTGCCACGTGGATGCATACGTGGATGCTTAATTTTTTCATGCATCTGGAACCAGAACGTCCAGTTCTGAAACCGGAACGGGCCGTTCTGGCTGCATTCATGGTGCGTAAATTTTGCATCTGGAACGACCGTTCCAGATGCATTATTTAACGCAAACGAGTGCACCAGAACGGACCGTTCTGAAATTGAAACGGGCCGTTCTGGTTCCCAAAACGTGCCATTCCAGATTCAAAATGGGCCATTCCAGAACACCAACCAACACACAATGTCGTTCAAAGATAAAAAATAAACCATTTACACATACATAATTTTTTTCATCTAAAAAATAATATATTTTAAAAAATAATAATTATATTCTAATATATATATATGTATACATATATATATTTAAATTATCATATGTATAAAATATAAGTTTCGAAGAATTATTCATTTATCTCATATTTGTCAAACTTTTGTGCTTTCTATTTATTGTATATGTTGATAAAAAAAATCAAAAATTGTAAAAATTTATATCACATATCAAAAACATATTTATATGATAAATAAATTAAATTTGATTTTTATAAGATTTAACATATTTATTTTTATGTTTTATTAGAGTTAAATTATTATTAAGTAGGTTTTTAAGATTGTAGTTCTAACCAAACATTTTAAAAAATGTCTATGACAGATAAATATATCATATTAATAACATGTACTTTTAATAAAAATTAGGTTTAATTCTGTTAAATTATAATATAACATAATCTGACCTAGTTTATTTTCATCCTTAATCGTAATTGTAGATATAAAAACTTGTAAAAAATAACTATAATATATATTTATACTTTTAAAAATTATATGTAAAATTTTTAATATTACAAATATATAAATAAGTATTGCCCCACATCTAAAATTTCTGGATCCGTCACCAACTATAATCATCGAGTTTGTGTTTGACATTTTGGAACCAGAACGACCCTTTCTGAAACCAGAACGGCCCGTTCTGGTTGCACTCTTGATGTGTTAATTTTGCACCCGGAACGACCCGTTCCAGGTGCAAAATTAACATACCAAGTGTGCAACCAAAACGGGTCGTTCTGGCTCCAGATGCATTAAAAAAATTTGGCATCGTGTACATCCATGTAACATCCACGTGGCCAACAATTAACTCTGTCTAAATAATTTGGACGGAAGTCCAACATTGCAATAATTTAAATTATTGGGGACCAAATTGAAACAAAAAATTAAAGTAAGACTAAATTGAAACAAACAAATATTATAAGGGACTAAATTAGAGTTTTAACCTTAAAATTATTAAATTTTTAATGGGAGTGACTAAAATCGAACAATTATGATATTATAGGGACTAAAATTATTCAATTAAAAATTAAAAGACCAAAATTACACAATTATAATCCTTTAGGGACAAAAATTACTTAACTAAAATTTTGAGGACTAAAATTGCCTAATTACAATACTTAAAGGATAAAAAATGTAACTAAGTCAAAATTTATTTAGTGTATCGTCGACTCGTCGTTTATAATAAAACCAAGGGTTGTTTTGTTAGTACCAATATTGACACGCGTGAAGCAGCAAATGCGTGCGTGCGTGGCACTTGACTAGCAAGTGCAAAATTTTCTTCATCTCCACTCCACCTTACAGCACAAACACAGCCCTGTCACTGATGCCACAAGTGCTTCCTCTCGGTTTCACTTTCTAGGTTAATAATAGCTTCGCAGTGTTCCATCGCACCTTTCAAATTCTAACGATTCAAAGTCACTGCCCCTACGCACCGTTTCGATTCCACCGACTCGTTGGAAGCTTCAGAGAGGAACGGAGCAGAGGCCCAAGTGCACTCTGGCGCTTCTAGAAGGTTCGCCTAATCACTCTTCTACCACACTCTCCACGCTATTAATCCCCTCACTGGAACACTTTAATCATCTTTACGTGTTTTCGTTAGGGTTTCATGTTACTCTCTGTATTCATGCGTTTTACGTGTTCGATGAAATTGCCGTTACAAATTTCTGCAAGTTTTTGTCATTATAAAATGATATCATGTTCTCTTATTCGTTTCTTTGAGGTTATGAAATTTTCTTTTCATTTACGCGCTCGATGAAATTCCTGTTCCAATGCTGCGTTTTGTTTATGCCATTATAACGTGTCGACATGTTCTCTTGTTCGTTTTTGCGGAGATTATAGAATTTATTTTGCATTTTACGCGTTCGATGAACGTGTTGGAATCATAAAGTGTGGACATTGATGTGGTCTTTGATTTCGAAATGTCGCAGATGTCACTTTATATTGGTAATCTGTCGGAGCATTCTCGAAGAGATGAACTCGAGCGTGTTTTCCGTCGATTTGGACATTGCAATGTTCAGCTGAAAAGAGATGGCTATGGCTTTGTAGTATTTGATTTCCCTCTGGATGCGGAAAAGGCTCTGAGAGCACTGAAAGGTAGAAATATTTGTGGGGAGCAGCTGACTCTGACATGGTCAAATAAACAGCCTAAAACAAACTTTTCTAGATTTGCTAGGGGTGGTAGAAGAAATGCATTTGAGTTGCAACAGGTGAGAAATCCTGATAGAGCCGGGTATTTGAGAAGAAAAACAGGTTTCAGTGGGTGGTCAAATCAGAATATTAGTAGGGGAAAATCTGTGGAAATGCCTGGCGATGAGAGGGAATATTGCCATGATGACTTTAAAGATTCTGTTGGGGAAGAAAAGGATTATGGGGGAGATTTTCCTGATCAAGGCGGTGGGGTTGTTGCTAACATGGAGGAGAATGGTAGATGGGGTGAGCCAGTTCATGAGCCTTATCATGACAACGGAAATGGAAATGGTATAGAATTTGATCGTTATGAACCTTATCAGGGCCATGATAGGAAGTGTGACAATGAAGATTATCATGTTGGTTACTCTGGTGGTTCTCCAGCACCACATTCCCAGGAGAATATGGGCAGAGTGCAGATTGGTGAGGATACCTCAAGTCAGCCAAATGGCTCAAAGTTCCATCAAACATGTTTTAGATGTGGTGATCCAGGTCATAAAAAGCGAAATTGTCCAGAAGAACATTCTTCACAGAGGAAATATAACAGGTTGGATGTTCGGCATAATAATAGAATTTACAAGAAGCAGAAAGGTGAAGATGAGAATACATTTAGATCTGGTTCCTGGGTGAAGCTGCAATCAAGTGGGGATGCTTTGCCAATGAGGCACCAGAGAGATGAGAGAAGGTTGTCTGGTTCTCGACATCTGCTTGCACCACGGAGAAATGAATCATCCCCTTTAACAAGGGAAACTGATAGGCATCAAAAAAAGGAGTACGAAGGAAAGAAGCGGAGCAAAAATGAAATAGAGTTGTCTGAAAGATCCAGGGCAAAGATGTCCAAGCGATCAGTCTCACCTTCTTTGCTGTCAGATCACTCTGCATCTCGCTCTCTTTCAAATTCTCAATCTTCCAAGTCACTGTCTAGGTCTAGTTCTCATTCTAGATCAAGATCTGTGTTTTCTAGATCACATTCTTCATCGTCGAAATTAAGGTCATCCTCAAAATCTCAGTATCATAAAGGCAAAAGTTTGAATTCTTGGAGATCAAGCTCCCCTCTGTCTTTGTCTGTATCACTCAATCAGCCTTTATCATCATCTCCAAATAAAATGCAGTTGAGTTTAAAAAGCCCATCTATTAATGGTGCTGCTCTTGAATCTGTGGATCATTTGGTTGCACAGGGACAACAAATTGGCAGTAAAAAAGAATTGGAGAATCTTCAATCCAAAGATACAGGTATTGCTATAAATGGAAAAGCTGCAGTGTGTACCCCAGTGGTGGATGGTGTTGCAAAGGGCCAATTTATACAGGAAGACAATCATGAAAATCATATTTTCTTAAAATCATCTGACAGAGTAACAGATTTAAATGAACCACTTATTGGGAATTTATCTCCGCAGATAGTTAACGAGACAAAGGGTCTTGGGCATTCTGGAACACTGATGTTGGATGCTATTTCAACAGAAATTCATAAGCCTGCTTCTGAAACATATGTCAATCCTCATTCTGACCTTTCAACCATTGTATCCATGGAGGAGATGCGCATGGTTCATAATGACTGTGGCCTGGAACTTCCAAAAGATGATGGGAACAATTTAACTGTTGATGCCTTCTTTGGATGTGCTCGATTGTGGCCTTGGCACATTGTTTATTACCGCAGGTTGAAGAAAGGCCCAATTTCAACTGAGAACTATGCCAAGCGGATTGCACAGAATCAGGAATTTGGCATTGTTGATAAGTATATAAGAAGTAGTAGTGGATGGGGAGAATTCAGTCCTGAGAATGCTTGATTGTTCATACTGCTACAAATGATGCCATGTTGGTACATTTATTCCCATTGGAGCTATGTATCTATATTCTACGCTGTCTGGCTCTTAAATGGAATTCAGATGTGATTTGGTAATGATTGTAGAGAAGTTTGCTCGGCAGGTAATTTATGCATACCATACTATAATTCATTGTATTGCTTTGCCTACATGTAGTCCCCACTCAATTATTGTGCAGTGCCATCTTACAAATGATCACATTTATAACAATGGCAGTATGCCAAATGTTTGAATGATGTTACATATTCTGGAATGACAGGAATCTACACTGTTTTTATTATTGTTCTGTTAGTTTTCTGTGCTTGCTTAAAAGAAGGGGGAGATGGAGATCTTTTAGCTTGTTTACTGTGCTAATAGGTTCATTATTGTGAACATTATGATGCTGCTATGCCAGGGGTGGCAGCTGGGAAGCATGGACACAACAGGGAAAACATGGTGCATTTCTAGTAGTTATAGGGTTTGTCATAGCTGAACACATTATATGATAAAAAATTAAGGGAAAAATGTGTTTTTAGTACCTATACTTTTGGTCAAAGATGGTCAAGTTCCCTATATTTTTATATTGATGAATTTGATCCTTAAACTTTCATAAACATGTGGATTTACTTCCTAACTTTAAAATGACATGATTAATTCGTAGAGAGGAGGGATTAAATCTACATGTTTTTTTTAATATTTTGAGGTCCTAATTTATTGATTTGAAAGTACGAGGACCTTGACCATGATTGACATATTGTGAACCTGAAACTATAAATCCTTAACAAAGTCATATATCCGTTTTAAAATATTACAATTATAAAATATATTCTATTTTCCTTGATCCACTATTCAATTTCTATCCAGTTGGTTGTTGTCTTTCAATTATTTACTGAAATGGTTATGTTGGTTCTGGTCTCTGATATTACTTATTATATTAAAGGTGTTTTATATTTTGTAATTTTTTCATGGCTTCTAGAAGGTCTGAGTAATGAAATACAAACACCCAACACACTCTTCACATCACTTTCGTTATCAATCCTAGATAGCAGTGTCGAGCATCTTGCCCAAACTAAAACCACTAGAGTGGAATAGTGCATAGCAAGATGATCTCTATTTTTGAACATTATGCTCACTAGTTAAATAATTTATACTACGCAAATATAAATGCTCAAAAATAAAAAATTACCACAAAATAAAGACATTTGTAATTAATATTTAATAATCAAAAGCCATATTTTTAAGCTAAACTCAAGTCAACATAAGTCAAGAAACATAAAAGAAAAAGAATCAGAACAGAGGCCTCTCTGAATTTAAAGTTAAAAAAGAGTAGAGATTTCTTAGAGAAGTACACAAACATGTTGAGAGTTGAGACGGGAAATAAAAACATCAGAACTTGTGGCCACCCTGCCACTCTGAACACAGCACAAAAATAAACATAAAAAATAGAGAAAATATAACATGTAGATGCTTGGAAAAAAAGAACAGAGACCTCTCTGACTAGATGAGAATGCGTACAGAACATAAGCCAGCAAAAAGTTGTGCTGTGGTGTGTAAAAATGAGGCTTTGTGATTAACAACACTAGAGTGCTATGGGTTGGCTGGAATTCTTTAAAGAGCTGGTTCAGTGGCCAGAAAGGAAGGAGGTCACACTTATTTGAAATTTGTGGTCCAACTCAAATATGAAAGTGAAAGAGAAGGCATTTAGTCTTGAATCAGAAACACAGGATTCTTGATGTAAAACACAGGAAGATTTAGAACTCAGGACTTTTTGCATTTTACCTAAACCTCCTACCACTAGGCCAACCCTTTTGGTTCATGTGATAGCAACAATACACTATTGATAACTATGCTTTCCATTAATTGAATATAAAACTTATTTGACCAAGAATCTACCATTATTAGCCAAGGAGTGTGACAAGAGTCGTGGGTTGGGATGGGTAGTAAGTGGTTAATGATGGATAAATCATTGATTAAAAAATTATGATGTTTGGCTAATGGAAATTGATATAGGTGATGTGTGTAAAGTTAAGTTTAGACATTTTTTGGTTTTGGGGACAATTGACAGGTTTAATCGATTCTACGTGTTCGTTGCAAAACAGTTTTCTGTGCCAACCGAACTGGTTAAGGACCAGTCTGCAGTCAAACCGTCGACTAGTCGGTTCAGTCCGATTTTTAAAACCATGTTATAAAATAAATCAATCCTAGAAAAGAAAAGAAAGTAAAATCAACTCTTGAAAAAGAAGTCTAATGTATCATTTATAAATATCTAAATATTGTATAACAGCTTTGAAGCTTTTAAAAACTAATAGTAAGGATGAGCAGGCAGAGTGAAAATGTCAAGGGTTAGTGACTGTAGAAGGATCACTGTGCCATTGTAATGCTGTATAGGGATGAAGGCTATTGTTTGTGAATGCTACGAGGAAGATGGTCACTGCACATGAAGCTTGCAAAGGATAAAGGGGCTTCAGGAATTTAATTAACCTGAACTTAGTTTTGTGTTGGTTGTGTTGGTGTGCTACCTGTGAAGAGTGCAAGCCATGTCCAGCCAAGTTGAAGCTCTGTACATTTGTAAATAGAGCCTGGTACCACCTAAGCACATGTCAGTGTCGCTGACACACTGGTGTTAGAAATTTGTTCAAGTCCAACAATGCTAATCATCTTGCTAGGTTTGTGCTTCTTAGGGTATCAGTATAGCACCTTTCAGTTTTATGTTAGCATTATGAATGTTAACAGTGTCTTGTCTATAACTTCATTGTTGATGGATATTGAAATCACAATTTAGGGATCAAGGTCCAAATCAACTGATTCCAGGTTCCAGCTAGTTCCCATGAGAAAGATTTGTATTTGTTATACTATGAGTGACTACTTGCCAAAAATTCAATGAAATTTGGCAATACACCAGATTGTTATTATGCTGGAAATTTGGTTCTGCTTCATTTCCAGTTTCTTGTGTGGATTATGATAAAGTATTAACCATTTTCAATCAACTGTCTGTTTGCCTGCCACGGAGTTATAGCAGAATCCATGAATTGTGAGCTTTGCAATCATAGAGTAGCTGTGAACTTGCCTTGTATCAAGATTGTAGAAAACCATAAAAACAGATTAAAAATGTTGTATAAAATCATGGTTATTGTCAATAACATTCAAAGCAAGCACCTAAATAAACTTTTTATTTTCTCTCTCTAGTAGCAAAATGAAAGTTAAGGTGTTATTCTTTCTTGGTTTGCTTCAAATGGTTAACTCCTTTTATTGTCACACTTGATTCTGAAAGTCTATCTTACCGAAATTGTCTTAAATCTGTTTTTATTGGAATTGTATTTGATGATATTCTTCTTTATGCACTGGATTAGTTGTATTTGTCAGTTGCTGCATTTTAGATTTTTCATCATATTGCATATAGATCCACTTAGGAAACTGTCAGTTACATGAATGTGAGTTTGAAGAACTTTTCTTTTCTCTTCTAGGGTTGCACTGGGGAGAGGAAGTAGGAAAGGATTTTTCTCTTCATTATATGGTATGTACAGAGAACAAATTGTGGAGGGACCGTTTGACTTTTTGAAGAGCCAGATTCTTCAACTCTTGTTTGTTGATCGTTGAACTCAAAACATTTTGACTTTTGGGCTACTAAAGTCTTCGACACACTTTTGTAAGTGATTGACAGTGGATTTGGATCCTTTTGTGTCAATGTACCATCCCGTTGGAGAAATACAAAATTAGCTTTCTTGTGCAGGGCAGCATGATGGTTTAGGGGTCACATTACTTTTATGGAAAACTGTGTATTTTATCCCTGTAATGGGACTCTTCACTGTTATTTAAAACAGGAGAATCCAGATTGATAATTTTCTAGTTTTTACACCTTGAAAAATCAAGTTGATGCAAATGTATGGAAATAGGGGCGAGGGGTAAAACTTCAACTGCGTGTTGCTGAGTTGAAACAATTACGAATGTCCTATGCTGAACATTGGTAGACTGAGGTTTTAAATTTGTCAAAGACTTGAGAATGTTTCGGTTAGGTTCTCCGTGAATATCTCACTAAGTTTTCAAATTAAGTCATTGTACGAGTGGCTATTCATAACTCTAAGGTTTCAAATTGTACTTTCAATATTATTTTCATAAATGTGAAATTATTTCCCATCAGAACAGTGTCAAAAGATGGTAAAATATTCTCAGCATCAGATGACTAGTCTGAAGTATATTAACCTAAATATAATTCCTGACTATGTATGAAAAATGTCTTGTTGAGATAAATAATTTATTTTAGTGATCTTTGTCTTGAAAAGAAATAATCTCTACCAGGAGGATATCCTTTGGTACAAAAAATAAAAAGATGTAAGCTCTCAATGGATAAGTCTTAGTATGCAATATTATCTACCTTGAAATGGATAGTGTGTTTTCATCTCTAATAAATGTGCTGAGTCATGTTCTGATCGTTTAAATGATGTCTTGTTTGTATCCTAGCAAAACATGGACATGCATTTATGAAAATTTAGGAAACATTTAGTGGGCTTTTATGGTTGCAGGTTGGCTGTGTCAATGGAGAAAGCGGTGTTGCTCATCAACCTAGATTGTTCAATTGATCGATAGAGTAGCTGTTCTATTTCTATTTTGAGCACGGTGGGTTTTGGATTAATCGTAGACTCGGTTGCAGATCTTTCATCCTAGTGAAAATATTGATTTCGGGTCTGTGGGCAACGCTAGGGGGAAGTAGGAATCAGGTAGGAAACACTTCCATTTTGGTTAATTAATATTTTGATCAACAGGATATTTTGTACAATTCAGAACGCATGGATATGGATGGCGCAGGGGCGAACATGAATTAGTGTTCAACGTGTTTGCCATCAGAATAAACGGTAACTATCAAAACTCAAGACTAAAATCTTATATTGAATAATAAAATTATTGGAGTATATGCATCTAGACTCTATAGCATGTATGCATTGCTAAATAAGATTTGTAGTTCATTTTGAATGTCTGTTTTTCAAAAAATAATTGAGTTCTGTCGCTAAGTTGATTAAAAAAATATTATTTCTTTAAAAGTAAAGTGAATATCTTAATCAAATGCACATGCGTCCTAAAAGAACAAATAATAGTAGAGATGTATTAAATATTCTTGCGACTTATGAGTCTAGGATGTGGTCCGACGCCTGCGATTCTAGGACTTGACTGAATTTCTAGTATTGATGTCTTGTTTAATGCATTGATATTCCTTCTTTTGACCCCTTCTCTTGGCTTTGTTCGGTAGAGTTGTTTAGGGAGGACAGGAAAGGTGACAGTGTTGTGATGTCTATTTTCCTTGTTCGGTATCGCATTCATAAAAGATGGGAGAGGTGGAATTGTTTGCTGTGGGGCTCACTAAAATGTGTATTGTTTTCAATTCTTCACAAATGGGAGAGATGGGGGTAAGTTAATATTTTGTGGGCTTTAGATATTCAATTCTTTACCAATAATTTAATATTTTAAGTAAATTAGTTTTTTTTTTAGATAAAAGACGA